AGTCTACGGTGATGGTTCTCCGTAACATGGTGGATCCCAAGGACATCGACGATGACCTGGAGGGAGAGGTGACAGAAGAGTGTGGCAAGTTTGGTGCTGTCAACCGTGTCATCATCTACCAGGAAAAGCAGGGTGAAGAAGAGGATGCAGAAATCATCGTCAAGATTTTTGTGGAGTTTTCCATGGCCTCAGAGACTCACAAGGCCATCCAGGCCCTGAATGGGCGCTGGTTTGCAGGCCGCAAAGTGGTGGCTGAAGTGTATGACCAAGAGCGTTTTGATAACAGCGACCTCTCTGCGTGACTTTGGCCCTGTTTCCTGGACTTGTACTTGCTCCTCGTTTCCTTCGGGTTTTATAGTGATACAGTGGTGTCCCTGGGACCAGGCACTCTGCCCAGCCCAGCCTGTAGTGTGTATAAAGGTGCAGATGCTGCTGGCCCTGAAAAAAAAAAAAAAAAAAAAAAGAAAACCAAGAAGAAAATATGGAGAAAAGATAAAACAGAAGAGCAGCAAGAGGTTGGAATGAGTTGAGCGCTAGTAAATTTATGTAGAGATGTGGATCCAATATATGTATTTTAAAAAGTAATGTTTGTTGTGAAAAGTAAATCTCTTTGTAGTTGAGCACTATAAAGCCCTTCCTCCTCTACTACATGCAATGATCTAGCTGGAAACTGCCTGTGTGGGAGGATTTTCTTCAACTTGAATATCCTAGAAGATTAACAAACAAATTCTAAAATGTAAAAACAAAATAAATAAAATGTAAGAATGAAAGCCTCAAAGAAGTTTATTTGTTTGTGTTACAGAACTAGGGACTGGGGCTGGGCAGATGGCTCAGTGGACTAAGCACTTCCCTGGCAAGTGCAAGGGCCCAAGTTCAATCCCCAGTTCCACCAAAAAAAAAAAGAAGAAGAAGAAGAAGAAGAACTAGGGACTGAACCAAAAGTCTTTCACTGAGCTATATCCTCAGCCCTCCCTCTTTTTTATTTTGAGACAGGGCCTCATTTTGATAAGTTGCCAGGTAGGCAATTTGAACATGCAATCCTCTTGCCTCAGTCTCCCAGAGTGCTGGGATGACAGGTGTGTACTACCACACCTAGCTAAAGGTAACAAATTTTTAAAAGAACAGTAAAGAAAAGGGACATGTCCTATCAGCTATGGGGATTCATATGTGCCATGGCTGCTGTTTTAGTCAGGATGAGCTCAGATTTGGCTGCAGAAACAAAAAACCCTCCAAGTACAAAACAACAAAGGCTTTGCCTACTCCTGCTACATGTCCACTGTGAGTCCCTGAAGGCTCTGCTCTGTGCCTGCTCTAAATCTGGGCTGCCAGCACCCTAACCCAACCTGGAGTAGTACAGGCTGTCACTGCAGGGAAGGAACATGGTGAATTACAGACAGGCTCTGAAAGCGTCCTTCCAGAAGTGACAGGTGTCACTTGCGCTCACATTTCATTGTCCAAATCAAGTCCCAGAGGCAAGTATAACTCCAAGTGGACAAGAAATACAGTCCTTCTATTTTCCTGAGCAAGAACAACGAGATTATTTGTGAACAGTCTTACTGAAAACCACAATATCTTTTTGAAAAAATAAAATTCTGATACTGACATAAGCACTGACAAACCAGTGGAACAGATGAGAAAAATCCATGAAAAATAAATACACAAGTGGTAATCAAAATGCACAGTAAATATTTAAAGAAAAACTTATTACAGAGAAAGACTCACTACTGAGAACAATAGGCTAAGTATGTTCTAAGTGAGAAAGAGTACTTTCAAGAGGATTAATGCCAATGTGCCTTTTATTACAATAAATTTTTATTTTTTATTAATTTTATTGAGAAATAGCAATGAGAGTTTCAAAACCAATTAGTAGCATAGTTTCAATAATTAATACATTGCATATTATTGTCTTTGTAGTGGTTATTCATAGTACAAGATGCAGGCATGATATACTGTTCAAACAATATTAGTACAAATATTTCTTCTCATTGAATTAAAAGAAAGTAGCTGTATATCTATCTTAACTATTTTAAATATACAAATACAAAATGGTCCTTCTTTTGTATCCCCCTTTTTTGTCTCTTTTTTTATTTTTTTCCATAATTTTATTGAGAAACAAATAGCAATGAGACAGTTTCAAACCAAATTGGTAGGACAGTTTCATTAATTAACATTGCATACATTCTTCCTAGTGATTAATTGCTGTACAAGATGCAGACATGATATCCTATTTACAGACACCATCAGAACAATACAATAAATTTTTCAATTGGACCATTCACTGTATTTTATGATCACTTCTCATTGGTCAAATGTTTATGACCATTTCTATCAAATAAAAGTGTTCACCTTAGGCTGGAGAGATAGCTCAGCGACATAAGAGCCTGTCTGGCAAACGCAACGTCCTGAGTTCGATCCCCAGTAGGGGTAAAAAAATTCACCTTATTCACCAAAACTGGCACAGTTCAACTTCTGGCTCTTCCCCTAAGTATAAATGACCATGAAAGGTAAATGTTTTTGAATTGATTAAGGCATCTGGGAAGCCACCACAGTACAACTAAAGGTACTCACACAAGAGGACTTTAAGAACTACTTCAGGACTTGACAAGAATGAGAGGATAAGTGTGTTCAAAGTAAGGGCAAGCACTCTGAGTATTTTGAAGAGGATTAAAGACAATGCGTCTTTTACTGAAATAGTTTAAAATTCAACAGTCACTTCACTTTATGATCACTTCTCATTAATCAAATGTTTATGGCAATTTCTGTCCAATGAAAACACTCACATTTTACAGTCATTACTGTAATAGCCTTTTTAAAACTTTGAACACTCCCTGAATTTTTTTATGATCCCATGTATATAAAATAGGCATGTCCCAGATATGCTGAGGCACATCTAAAATCCCAGCACTCTGGGAAACTGAGGCAGGAGCATTGCATGCTTTGAGCTCAGCCTGGGCAATTTAGCAACTCACAGACGTCCTTGCTTCAAAATAAAAAATAAAAAAGGGCTGGGGATATAATTTAGTGTGAAGGCTCAAGGTGAAGCCCCCAGTACTGCACCAATAACTACTTAAGGGAGGGAGGGAGGGAGAAAGGGAGAAAGGGGGGGAGAGAGAGACAGAGTGCACGCTGGGTATGCAGTATAGGTGAAATCATAAAACACTGCTGAAAAAGAAGGTTTGCTCATCAGGTAATGCTGAGAAAACCTAATTATCATACAATTTTTTTAAATCTCAAATTTCTCCTTGCACCATATAAAAACTTGAACTAACCCAGAAGACTGAGGTCCTCACATGTGATGTGGAAAACTATAAAACTAATAGGGTAAAATGTAAAAAGTACACCATTTTGACCTTGGGATGGGAAGATTCCTTTAATAAGACCCCAAAAGGCACAAATTGTAAGGCCAAAAAAAAAAAAAAAAAAAAGATATATTTGACTAGAATATAACTGAGGATTTCTGTTCGCAGAAGGACAGCACAGAGTTGAGGCAGGTGACCAAACAGGAGAAAGCCCCACCACACCTAAGAGACAATGTGTGCGAGGAACTCCTCCAGACCAGCAAGCAAAGCACAGTGAGAAAGAACAAATAAGTATGAGCAGGCGACTCACAGAGGTGAGATTCTAACATGTCCTTCCACGCGCTGGCAGGCGAAGAGATGCACTATTACATGATAATCAGAAATGCAGAGAGCGGGAAGAATGCCTTTCTGTCCCTCTGGCTGGCACCATTAGAAAGCTAGGGGACACACAGAGTAGGAAAAAGTGAGGGGAGACAGAAACCCACAGGAGTGCCAGGGACAGTCCCTGTCACAGCCAATCCCCGCAGCCACGGGCCTGGCTCAATGAAACACAACAGGCTCGCACTTCAGCTAAACTTCCACCAAGCTGTCGGAACCTCTCCAGTCCTGCAGGGAACCCCAGCCAGCCAAGCTGTTGGGAGGAGTATCCAGTGGGTGCTTAGGGAGGACCACTAGACGGCAGCCCGCAGTAATGGGACAGGTTCATCTAACATGAATAAATATTAAAAAGAGAGTTGGAAAAAAATGTAGGGAAAAAACAAAAAAACACCTCCATCCCTGCTTAAGTCTGTTTCCTACATTTTCAACTTTCCAAACTGAAATAGACTACGTTATCACACCAGCCCCAACCAGTAAAGAGGGCTCTGAGCCAGGTGCTGTTCTAACGAAGCTGCAGGGCCTAGCCCGGGTCACCACATCCGCTGGGGTCAGTCCCTGTGCCTTGGAAGACAGCCAGAAACTCTGGGGCACATGCCCACGCCACCGAAATCTCAGAGGAGCCACACCCACGTGCAACTCACTTTGCTCCCTTTTCTGGTGTGGTTCCCCCTCTGGGGAAAAGGCGAGTCAGTTACTGTGCTGGTGGCATGTCCCTAGAGCTGCGCCGGTGGAGGGACAGCGTAAGGACTACAGTCCCCGCTTCCCGACTTGGCAGCGGGCCTGGGCCAGGTAAGACGCCCCAACGAAGTCCAGCCCCGCCGCCCTCCTCCCGGAGGTCCTGGGACAGGGGTGCCAGGACCGGGAAGAGGGAGTCAGTCGGTCTCTCCATCCCTCAAGGGCCCGGACAGCCCCAGCCCCAGACTGAGGGATCGCAGAGCCCCCACTCCCCGGAGCCCCCATTCCCAACCCCAGACTGACCTCTCCCGGCCAGACCCTGCAAAGCAGCTGGGAGACGGAAAGGCGGAGGCGTCCTCCTGTGCTCACTGTTCTTTCACGGGTCCCCCAAAAGAGAGGGAAGAACGGGACAAAGAGGAAACCAGAAGTCCTCTGGTGGCCGCACCCTCCAGCCTCCCGCCTCTGCCCCAGACTCCAGCTGTCGGCCTACAATCACAAAGCCTTTCGCTCGAAGAGGGGTGGGAGGAGAAAATGAGGAAGAACGTGAAGGGCGAGGAAGCAGCAGCAACGAATTTCAAAAGGAGGGCTAATTTGCGCAGCGCCGGACAGCTGCATTTGCATAATGAAATGTGCAGAGGATGTTCGGCTCACGTATTTTTTAGAAGGTTTAAGTTTAATTTTATTTAGCCTAAGAAGGGCATGTCACTCAAACTCCGCCGGTCATTTATAAAAATATTTCAATTGTGTTTCCAAGGAGCTGTCTTTCTGGCCTAAGTGGTTGGTGCCTGGGGTTGTGAATGCTAATGCAGAGGTCGGAGATCGATCAGGGAGGGAGAAAATGAGAGGGAAGTGGGAGGGGCAGAAACTCCAAGAAAGGCAGCAACAGAACAAAGGACAGCAGGGGGACCAAGAGGGAGAGAGAAACAGAGTTTCGGAGCAGACCTAAGCCCCCTGGACTGCAGAG